GTACATTAAACATGTGGAAAAAACTCACTGTTATTTCTGACTGCCGAGCTGCGAGTTTCTTTAATCTGTGTTTCACTGCTTCTCTCTGCTCCTTTAGAGACTCTCGCTGCTTTTCTAAGGTCTCCTGGAGGAAAACACATTCAGTGCAGCTCGTTTCAACATTTAGGTCACACAGGATGGATGAGWTGTTGTGAGAAGCAGCTGCAGACAAGAAATACCCAAAGAACAGACTGATACAATGACCTCTTTTATCTGTGTATTAGTACGTTTGTTTCCTGTAAGGGATGTTAAACTAAATACTCGGGATTTATTTGCWTTTGTCTCTGAGAACAAGGCACCTGAGACCTTTAGTTAATGTTGCTACTAAGTTACACACCTGCTTTATGTACAAGGTAGGTACCCATGACTTTCTGTACATGGTTACCAGCCAAGAACCATGCACCTAATACACATTAGAGTATGCATCAGCTAGTACCAGGTGCATAAACAATACACACTAGCATATGTACAAGTAAGTAGCAGGCATGTAACCAATACACAGGCTATGTATATTTAGCTAGCTAAATATTTAGTTAGCTAAATATTTAGCTAGCCACCTAAATATTCAACTTAAATATTTAGCTAGCCACCTAAATATTCAACTTAAATATTTAGCTAGCCACCTAAATATTCAACTTAAATATTTAGCTAGATTCCGAAATATTTTGGTTGCAACTTAAATATTTAGCTAGCATGTTAAATATTTAGGTAGCTAGTGTAGTGTCCAAGAGTGGGGGGCCTGTTCTCAGGAATGCACAGTTGTGTTATGCCTCTCTTAGTTTCCAGCTTCAGAGCTCGGCACATATTTCCATATTAGGAAGAAGGTATACCGTGACAAAATTTATGGTACATCTGTGAAGCCTATAAAGAAGCCTTGTACGCCCCTGCTCTTGGCCTTCATCTTCATCTTCTTACTTGGTGAATCATTTGGCATTGAAGGCCACAATTTGGTTTTTGGCTGTAATCTCCTGGACTGCAAAAATAAAGATTCTTGCTGTTCAACCAGCCTGTTTCAGAGTTCTCTCTTCATTGAGCAACAACAGTTCCACTTCAACCCAGAAGACGTGGTATTTTCACCTCAGTAGCTAGCTAAATATTTAAGTTAAATA